AATTAAGTATTTCTGATTCTGAATGAAACTAATTTGTCCAAAATTTTGTGACCCCTACACCAGCTTCAGGAGCCAGTCTGTAACAGGTTTTTTGTGGCTGAACACATTTTTTAAAATGGTCAGGTACGGACCCAGATCTGAGAGAGGAACTGATAATAGAAAGGTCAGGTCAGAAAAGTAAGCATCTTTAATAGTCCGGTTCAAGTTAAACAATTCCTTCACATAGAGGCAGGGGACTTAGAGTTTGTACTTTTTCGCAATTGCACTCGGCCTTCCTATATTCCCTTTGTTGTCTAATGTTAACGTTGATCAAAGAGTTAATAACTGGGTCAGCCCTGGATGCATGAGTGGAAAAAAATAATTTCTTTCAAACACAAATTAAATTGACTTGAAAATTAATATTGGCAAACTGAGGAAGGAAATTTGCTACAAAATGTGGCTGCTGTACTAAGATGCAAAAGTGGATTATACATTTCTGGGATGAAGCAGGTAAAAAAAAAAAAAAGACAAATCATGCATATTTAAGGAGAGCCAGTGTGAAAACTTAGTTAAGGGTTTGCCCATGGTTTAATGTAGGGCCACAGTCATGCTGCACAAGGTTAAAAGATTTACAGATGTTTAAAAAGTCTTTGGCAAATGGATTTGACAGACTGCCAATATGAATGTTATTCAATCTTAAAGTTAAAACTGTTGAAGAGCCAAGGTTGAGTGCAACACAAGTAAAATGGTTTTTAAAGACAACTGCAATACCCCCACCGCAGCCAAAAAGAACTGGGTGGGCAGACTTCAAGGTTTCTGTAAGAAATAGAAAAAACAAGGTTATTAGGTATAATTTGATCATTGAGAATGAAAGATTAGACACAAGATTGTCCATTTGGAAGAGCACTCAGAGAGCTTAGCTGTACTGGAATTACCACAGTAAACTGAAGCCACTAAAAACTTCACATATTGTATGTAGAATTACACCAAGATGTGTAGACTTTGTAAAACTGGCCTGTGGTTGTTTGAGCCACTTAATCGTCACATGCATTTGTCCCTATGTTCATGTAGCGTTTGTTAAAGTATCAATGACAGGTCAAATGTAGGAGGGAAAGGACTTGTATCTAAATATTACAACACATTGGTCGCAAAGAGTCCTGAATCAGCACACGATTAATCAAACGCTTGGAAGCTGGTTCTAAAAGACATTGACGAGATGGATTGGAAGGAGCACAAACAGACAATACAAGGTTTAAATTACTCCAATATAAGTGGCTTATGAGGATGTATATAACTCCTTCAAACGTCTGCCAATATTCCTGATGTGTGTTCTAAATGTTTGACTGAGAAAGGTACTCTTTCACTGTCTATGGGAATGTCTAAAGATCCAGGATTTTTGGAAGGATGTTTTAAAATGTTTGTCAGACTTGTTTAACACCAAAGTCCCTTTAAATGCTGGGCTCTGTGTGCTTGGAATATATCCGAAGAACTTTAAACAGACATTGAAACAGACTAAACTATTGGCGGGCAATTGTGCTGTGTTGGAAGAGTATGGATGCACCATCACTACGGATGTGTGTGAGTATGTGTGTCTGTGTAATGTGAATATGTGTAGTCTCAAATTGTATTGTTAATGTATGTTTTACTGTTGGGTTGTTATAAGAAAATGACAATAAACATATTGTTAAAAAAAAACAAAAACAAAACAAGGGACCAGTCCCACTGCCTTAATATAATGCAGTTCATACGGAAGCTCACCCTAGCTTCAGCCCATCATCAAACCCGAGCTTCTCGCATCCCAGGTCACAAAACACAATGACAATGACTCTCTCGCTTCTCGTTACAGAAATTCAGACAATTAGCACTAGCCTGCGACGCCGTTCTGACTCCAGTCCCGCCATCTTCAGCCACCGTCTTCTACTGGCTCCCTTCAGATGGACAATGTGGTCTGCATTTTCTTTCGCTCAATAGCTTCACCCTGTTCGCCGTTCCATCGTCAAGATCATCGTACCCACACAAAATCGTTTTTGTCACATCTGCAAATCCTGTCTGAACAAGGAATTTCACCAGAGCCGTACTCGGGGCGTTTCCTTGCGTCCGAGCCACATCAATTGCTTCCAGCCAGATAACGGCACTAAACCCCTTGGCATGACCTAAACGATATAAAAAACGCCATGCTTAAGAGTTGATTCGAAGTCTCTACAAGAGATACGAAGAGACAACTCCCCCACTCAGTCTCACAACCCACCTAGTTCCCTCTTACCATCGCGCTGAACCCCTCCATCCATTCATCCATCTGCCAACAAACCTTCATCCCTCGACCTTCATCCCTTCATCCCCGGACTCTCATTGCTTCATCCCTTCATCACTCAACCCTCGACCCCTACCCTAATCCCTCAACCCTCAACCCCTACCCCTCATCCCTTTAGCCCTCATCCCCTCATCCCTTCACCCCTCAGTATATCACATCTGTTTACATTTGTTCATTATGTGCAATAAACTTTTCGTATTTCATACATTTGATGGCGTGGTCATTGTTAGTGAATATCACGTATTGCAATAAAATAATATTGATAATTGTGAATACCCCCCCTGCCAGCTGCCAGAAAAACATTACCAATGTCTGGAATTTGGATAGACAGAAGAGACAGAAGAATAGCTCATGTGAGATGACTGTAGGACATGGGTTGCTTTTTAAATTGTATTTTTTAAATAAATTTGATTTGATTTGTCCATTATATTCATTATGTATAATTTTGACTCAATTCAGTTTTATTTGTATAGTGCCAATTTATAACAAAAGTTATCTCAGGACACGTTTCAAGTAGAACAGGTCTAGAACGTATTCCTTATAAAATTATTTACAGAGATCCAATTTTTGTGCAGACATGAGCTGAGTTTGAGGTGTGGTCTTTGTTCCCAACCCTTTTTTTTTTTTTTTTTTTTACCTTTTTCATGCCTTTATTGCATATAGACAGTTGAAGTTCCTCAGGAAAGGTGGGTAGAGAGAGA